ACTTGGAAGGCAGAGACAGGAGGATCTCTGGGAGTTAAAAGCCAGCCTGGTCTACAGAGTGAGTTCCAGGACAGCCAAGGCTTCACAGAGAGACCCTGTCTCCAACAACAACAAACAAACAATAATAATGAAGAAGAAATCCAGGTGTGGTGTTTACACTCATAATCTTATCGCTCTAGGGGGCTTGGGCAGGAGAATATTCAGTTTGAGGTCAGCCTGAAGCTACACTGTAAAACCATGTCTAAAAGCAAAGGGGCGGAATAGGTGGTTCATCAGTTAAGAATGCTTGCTGCTCTTCCAAAGTACTGGAGTTACATTTCCAGTACAAAGGTCAGGCAGCTCACAACCATCTGTAACTCCAGCTCTAGCAATCTGACCTGTCCTCTTCAAGCACACTTGTATGGATACACACACCCCCACACACCACATAGAAATTAGTCTTTAAAAAATTAAAGTCAGGGGGCTGGAGATATGGCTCAGTGGTTCAGAGCACTGACTCCTCTTCCAGGAGTCTCAGGTTCAATTATTAGCACCCATGAGGCAGCTCACTAGCTGTAACACCAGTTCCGGGGGACCTGACACCCTCACACAAAACATACATGAAGGCAAAACACCAATGCACATAAAATAAAAATAATTCTAAAAATTTAAAGACAGCACACATCTTTAATCAAAGTACTCCAGAGGTGGAGACAGGAGGACCTCTGAATTCAAGGCCAACAGGTTCTGGCCAGTATGGCTGCATAGTGAGATACTGTCTAAAAATAATTCTATTCTAAAAGGAAAAGATGAATAGGAGCCAAAGACAGTCGCAGGTGACTCCAGGCAAGTTTTTGGCATTCTGTGGACTTCCTTCCCTTTGTGTATTAGGAGAGTGAGCTGTACCTTTCCTTGTTCACCTCACACTCTGCTGGACAGGAAGAATGGGCAAAGGTACTTGGGAATTAAGACAAATCAACAATTGTAGCAGACAGCCTGGGATACCACCTTCCAGACCACACTTTAAAGCCAAGGCATTTGTTCCCAAGCTATGGGCTGCTGAGAACACATTGCTGGCTGATGGTTGGCTGTTGAGCATGAAGGACCTCAGTTTTTCTTCTACATGATTGTGTTCCCTTACTTATTACAGAAACATTCATTAATAACCCTTTGGTATACATATCTCAGTGTCTCAGAGTCCATTTCCTGGAGTACTCATTTT